GGTGAAGTTTGTAGCACGAGTAGCAAGTCACCCTGTATATCTTACTGACTGTATTTATAAACGAATGGCTAAAGTTTTCTTGGTTTAATCAAACGGAACGAACAAGAGAGAAAGGAATTGGATATCACTGAAGATTGCGCATTTGCTAAGCGCGTCTGACCGTAACATAGCGAAAATGGGCGGACCGAGATCATCGTGAACGACCGAGATGAAGATAAATCCCAAAAGTTTACTGTTCGACGAAGCTATAAGGTGGAGAAAACAAGAAAATCTCCTATACCGGAGAAATACCCGAGATATAAAGCAAGCAGAGGTTTATTGCCTTGTCCAAATAAAATAAAAATTAAAAATAAATAGAAAAAAAATGGAACTACCACCATCACCCTCGCGGATTTGAAATTTCTGACAGGATTAATGACAGTACGATAACCACTAAATCATCATTTGAAAAACACGGGTGAACCTGAGAAAGTTGAATGACGAAATAGGCACGGCTGAGCGAATCCTGTGTTCGCGTGAAAGAATCTGGTCTACAAACGTCCGATTCACATGGGAAAATCTTTTGATTCCGGTGAGCGGAAGCGTAAAACGTAAAAATCAGATGTTCTGTCAGGTTCTTCTGTATAAATAACCGAGGATAACTAAATCAACTATAATTTTAAAAAACCTTCATGTCATGAATTACCGTATGGATAGATAGTTTCATAATTATTCAGCCATATGGTATGCGCGATCATGCGTATTATTAACTCTAAGACAATATTAGCCACTAAGTTTAGGACGAAGAAGTTATGCAAGGGAAATTCCAGCTGCTGCAATAATTATGGAGCTGTTAGTTTTACGATAATTTTCTGCTGAATTTCTGAATCATGATTTCAACCCAATTTTACAATGCGTTAGACACACGGTTTAGATTTCGAGGCCAATAAATTATCGTAAAATAGCCAAACAAATCTGTCTGAACCATGAATCATCTGTTAACAGAAATGTGTTTTAAACTGCTCTGTTAAGCAGTGACCATTCTGATTCTCAGCAAATCTATGATGATAGATTAAATTCAAAATGTGCAATCATTAAGCCAAATTTGAATTAAGTATTAACTGAGCATTGGTGATAATGATAAATTTAAACAGAAAACAATTAATCCTTTTTTAAAAAGATGGTTCCTACTCACATTAAGTTGTTTCGCAACAATCCGGATTTCGAGCCCTTTAGCTCATCGTCAGGTTGAAGGGTTTCCACAAGCACGTCTCTCGACATGAATTGCAGAAGTGGACCCGCTGATACCCCCGCCAACGCGACGTTCCAATGACGAGCTGGGTTTTTAATGGCGCTAAATTTGAATGTGCGAAAAGCGGTAATTATAACACAAATAACAATTGTAATAGTAAATACTATCAGAAATTAATTGTAAATTAGTGATTAAAGATAAAAAATTAAAAAATAAAAAATAAAAATGAAATAATTAGAATAATACCTTAATATTATTAAATTATTAAAAAACATAATAATAATTAGAATAATTAGTTTAATTATTTGGACGTTTAATATTATTTATATATTACAATTAATTAAGGTTTTTAGTTGAGATGAAAAAAAGCTGATGGCACGAGCGGGATTCGAACCCACGATCTTCGGCTTGATACGCCGCTGCTCTACCACTTGAGCTATCGTGACCTCGATCCACTCGGACATCAACTTCCTATCTCAACCCCACCTTTTCCCTCCTTCGAATCCCGCTCGTGCCATTAGCTTTTTTTCATCTCAACTAAAAACCTTAATTAATTGTAATGATTTAATTGGTCAAGCGGACCACGAAATTAATGAATTTAAAGGATTATTTATATACATATTGAAAATGGGAGGGAGATCAAAAGGTATATCTACCTCCCATTTTAAATATGTATATAAATAACATTAAACGTCCAAATAATTAAACTAATTATTCTAATTATTATTATGTTTTATAATAATTTAATAATATTAACGTATTATTCTAATTATTTAATTTTTTTTAATTTTTTATCTTTAATCACTAATTTACAATTAATTTCTTACAGTATTTACTATTACAATTGTTATTTGTGTTACCGCTTTTCGCACGTTCAAATTAGAGCGCCATTAAAAACCCAGCTCCTCATTGGAAAGTCGCGTTGGCGGGGGTATCAGCGGGTTCACTTCTGCAATTCACGTCAAGAGACATGTTTGTGGAAACCCTTCAACCTGACGATGAGCTAAAGGGCTCGAAATCCGGATTGTTGCGAAACTACTTAATGTGAGTAGGAACCATCTTTTTAATAAAGGATTGAACTCCACACTCACTCCATCATTTATAATTTCTATGAAGACATTTAAGGGCCAATTATAACAGATAACGTTTAGGCCCTTGTGGTGAATTTGTACAACATAGGTTGTACTTTTTCTTTCATTTTACTTTTTCTTCTCCCACTCTCTACCCTTCCTCTCTCTCTCTCTCTCTCACTCTTTCTGTCTCTGTTTGTCTGTCTCTCTCACTCTCTCACTCACTCTCTCGCTCATCTCTCCCTCTCTCTCTCTCTCTCTCACTCTCTCTCTCTCTCTCTCTCTCTCTCTCTCTCTCTCTCTCTCTACCAATCAATTATCTCTCTATCTATCAATCTCTTGCTCATTCTATCTTTATCTAGCTACCTCTATCTCTCTATCAATCAATCTATCTACTCCTCACTCATTCACTCTCATCTCTCTCTCTCTCTCTCTCTCTCTTTCTCTCTCTCTCTCTCGCTCTCTCTCTCTCTCTCTCTCTACCAATCAATTATCTCTCTATCTATCATTTCGTACATATTACATTATCCATCTCTTTATCACTTTGTTTTGCTCTTTCTCTTTCCCCCTATATATTTATTTATCTGCCTATGGTAGGCAAGAACACCGTTGCATTATTAGCAATGTATTGTTTATTTTACCAAACAATAAACATATTATAAAGTGCGTGCATACATGTGGCATGCTTTACATTTCGGCTGAATAGAATGGTCCATAGCAGTTTTCTCTCTCTCTCTCTCTCTCTCTCTCTCTCTCTCTCTCTCACATACTCTCTATCTTTCTTTCTTTTTTCTCTCTTTTTCTTTGTGTAATTGTGTGTATGTAATATAAAAATATATACTTAGTATATTCTTTCTGAAGTTCGACCTACGCCTTATTGCTGAGGAGAGATATCCTCGCTTTTGTAAGGTAAACGTGAAATATCTTCTGGGCTTAGAAAGTTGTACATATCTCCAAAAAGATAATGGTCTGCAAGGAGAGTAAGTGGTACAAGGAGGATGGGATAGGATACCAACATTTAGTAGCTCCTAAATAACCAAATTATGGTAATTGTTAAGCAGCTTAGCATAGCATCTGCACGAAACAGGCCAGATACTTTTGAACGCCTGTAGTTGATACTTGTAAAGAAATATTTTGGACAAGTTTTCTTTTTTCTGGCAAAGTCACATATTGACAACTGTCTTGCTGTTGTACAACTTAAAAACAAAGTGGTTTTTTTTTTTAATCCTTCCATTAATTTGTTAGGTTTGGTGGTCCGCTTGACCTTCATTTAATTACTTATTAATTAAGATTTTTGTTGAGATAAAAAAAGTCAGAGTCACAAGCGGGATTCGAACCCACGACCTTCGGCTTCCCATCTCAACCCCACCTTTTGAATTTGAAAAATGGCATAAAGTGAGGTTGAGATGGGCAGTTAGCGTTCGATTGGATCGAAGTTACGATAGCTCACGTTGGAGAGCAGCGGCGTATTTAGCCGAAGGTCGTGGGTTCGAATCCCGCTTGTGACAATGACTTTTTTATCTCAATAAAAACCTTAATTAAAAATTAATTTATTCATTAATATTGACTAAGTTGTTTTTATGTTGGGATGTGTTATTACGTGGTATATATCTTTCTCTCTTTCACTTTAAAATAAATAGCCTGCCATGAGCTATTTCTTATCATAAATGTGTTCCAACTGCTGTGTAAAACCATAAAAATAAGGCAAATGGCCCTGGGTCGATTCTTACCAAATTTATGATACAGACAAAATCTCCAATTAATGAGTAAATTTTCATTTAAGCACTGCTTAATTGTTGATAATGTAGCTAATGTTAGAACATAAAGAAAATGAACCTAGTGGGGCTAGTTAGAGAAACACAATTTTTAGAGACAAAAGATGAGTTAGAACAAACTAATAAACACACAACTAAATAACAATTCACTTACGTCATTTGAACCATACTCCTATTCAAAAAAGGGCCGACGTTCACAATGTAAAAAAACTCTGAACTCAATCCGCCAAAGGCACCGACATATAAATATCACGTACCACACGCATGACGACCTAATAAAACTTGACTTCACGGAAATCACACAGACCCTTCACTAAAAATGCATCTGATGGACTTACACAGGCGGGTAGGCAGACCGAAATGATGATCATATTGTATTAAAGGTTAATAAAAATAAAATAATTTCAAAACTATCAATTTTTAATATTCAAAACAAAAAACTTAATATTTCTATGTTTAATAGAATGGCTTTCCTAATTGTAGCTTGAAATGTAATAATAATAAAATGTAATGGTTATTTATTTAACTCGTATGACAAAATAGTTATATTTTTAACCCTTCATTTCTTATCGTTGGCTTAAAAGCACGGATTAAGTCCCACAATCCATGAGGCAATGTATGTACGACCCTTTTCTTATGCATACGTACATGGTGGCGTATTTACCATACGGTGAAACACCGCCAGATGTCAAGTTATGCATTATTCAATGTGTTAGAAAAAGTCGCTCAGTTTTATTTTGCATTTTCCCCTTTTTTCCGGCGAATTTGTGACAACTGTTTAAACATGGGTCGATAAAATATTTGCCGGTTTTCAAACACCAGTGAGATCAGTGTGGGATCAGAACGAAAATCAATTTAAAAAATTTTCCGTATAAAACTAATCCTTTTTTTTTATTTGATTTTCGTATTTCAATTTTTTTTCAGAGTTGGGAAGCCCTTCCTCCTGATACGGCCACGTTCACCCCCGACATCACACCCCTGATCCTCGCCGCCCACAGGGATAACTACGAGATCATAAAAATCCTGCTGGATAGGGGCGCAACCCTCCCCATGCCGCACGACGTCAGGTTAGTAGTGAAATGTTAAATGAAAATCTGTAATTTTATTTATCTATAGCTTTTATATATTGTAATGTGGTTTAATTTTCAAATAAGGCTTACAAGGTGTGGACGTTGGATCATCGATTTCAATTAAACTTTGTTTGATATTAGGTCGTAAAATAATAAATATAATTCACTAGTTTTCGTGGTACGCTTGACCAATTAATATCTTTCAATTAATTTATCTCAACTAAAAACTTTAATTAATTGAAAGATATTAATTGGTCAAGCGGACCACGAAAAGTAGTGAATTTAATTAGTTAAAATGAAGTATACTTCACTAAAGCTCTCCGTGGCCATTTCATTTGTCGCCGAGAATCAAATAGATTACATGACATTTGAAAAATGGCAAAAAGGAGGGAAAATTCAAAGGTGGGGTTGAGACGGGAAGTTAGTGTCCGAGTGGATCGAAGTCGCAATAGCTCAAGAGGAAGAGCAGCGGCGTATTTAGCCGAAGGTCGTGGGTTCGAATCCCGCTCGTGACACTTTTTTATCTCAACTAAAAACCTTAATTAATTGAAATTAAACATAAAAAAGCATTCTTGGCAATGAACTCTAGGGGCCGTTCCTTTTTGTAAATATGGTTTTGTGCCTTTGTTGAGCATGTAATTCAAGATTATTATCTTTCAGCCTATTTATTAATTTTTTACTAGGATAGGAAAATAATACCGATTTTGCTGCATCGTCGCTCAAAATCAAAAGCTTGTTTATTTCATCCTCTTTTCCTATAGTGGACACGCGTTATCATCAATTAAAGTCGTATTTATTTTGCTTAGTTTATTATAGAAATTTTCGTCTTCAAAATATTTTAAAAATCAGATCATGATTACTATTCGAACATTATTTCAGAAATATGAAAATTTTGCTGTACATACATAAATGACGAGTAAAAAAAATTAATTTGTGTTATCGAAGGAGTGAAAAATTCTATAAGGTTTTAACTTGCACGTGATAAGAGAAATCTGATTTTGTTTTTTTAATCTTACGTGAAATATTGAAATAGAAAAGCAAGTAATATTTATATGAGAAGTCGAATAGTAAATACATTTTAACAAGTATTATTGAAAGTAAGTACCATTGAAAAATATTTTGCACCCATTGCTCATAAGTCAGGAAAGCATAGTAGGGATCGTAAATCACCGCGAAGTGAAAAATAAAAGAACAGCAGACATTGGCAGTATAAATAATGAGGATTTATTTAATCAAATGACTCATTTGTTTGAATCTGAGATGAAAGATTTGTACAACAATGGACATCCACTTATTAAGAGACAAGCTGTTCAAAATAGATGGGTTGTTGTCCGAAAATTCGATAATCTCAGCCGAAAACCTAGTCCCTCCCCCCCAAAAAAAAAGAATTAAAAAGAAATATAGAATATATGATGCCAAATTTAAAATTCAAAATTTCTTCGAGGGTCCATTATAAACACAGGACTACATATAAAATAACAACACCTATGCTAATAATTTATATATATATATATATATATATATATACATTATGTATATATGTCTGGATAGCATTCACACCGCCTACAGTACTCAATATTCTCAGGGAAATGGAGAAAAAAGCTCCTTTATTCCTCTCCAGACACTGTCCTAGATTAGACGATATTCTTTGGGGTAATTGGAGAATTAGTCCCGACATTCACGCTTATAAATTATATTCATACACCTAACTATATTTAAATTGCCGCAGGGTGCTCGATATTCCTCGAGGTAATTGAATAAGTCCTGCTCTGAGGCTATTAATTTGGCATTAATCTCACATCAGACATAATTCATTTACCCAGAGTGCTCGATCTTCCTCGGGGTAATTAGAGCAGTTGTCCAACTATTTACGTTAATAAATTCTAATCACATACCAGACTTTATTCACACTCCTCCAGAATACACGATAAACCTCGGGGAAAAGAGGCCCCTTCATTCGCGGAAGTATATTAAATTCAAACTTATACTTCATTTCTACCGCTCCGGTAATAAATTACATTCGCTGAATAAATTGATTTAAAAAAAAGTTTCACCATTTTCACTCAAACTAATGTCGTCGTACAACACAAATCACATTCATTCGCGCCCGAGTACTCGATAATCTTCGGAGATCAAAGGATATGGCCCCTCCATTCTGGCTAATAAATACATTCCTTCCAATAAATAACATAAAGACATATAAATAAACATATAGACTTATAAACGTACTAAAGATACGGCTAAAAATAGTTATGGCCCTGAGGTATTTGATCAGTGATCTGTGTCTTCTGCACTGTCCCACGGCCGTCTAAGTTCTTGCGTAAGTCTCACGCCCATAGGAATTGCCCATATATAATCTGTGACTTGTGCGCAACCCTGTATGACCTTTTCTTATATAGATCCAACCTAGGAAAACCACAATTGATCTGATGGCGATGTGTTTCTTAGGCAACTGTTCTGTGTGTATCGTATGTGGACGAGGTCTCGGCGTGCTTCGTTCTTTTAATTTAAATATCAATGTGCTCGGAAACCGTGCCTCATCCACACTCATTCCACTTAATCAAAGGAAGAAAGAGGTTTCTTCATTATTATATGTCAAGGTTTTTTTTAGGTTTTTTTAAATTTAATTAATATTAGGTGAACAAAAAATTAGGATAGCTTTGTTGATATTCAATTAAGAACAAAAGCCGCCCCACAGGAAAAGCTCCGTTAAACTGATTCGGTGAGATTTTCGGTTTTGATCTCCTACTTTATTATATGTAATTTGATCTTCACTGATCAAATTGTCTTACGTGAGTTAGTCTGTTATTTGCGTTTCGGCAATATGGCCCATCTTCAGTGTGCTTCTGGCTACCAATCGAGGACAGGCAGACCAAGATGATCGGTAAGGCTCAAATAACACGTATAACAACCCTTGCACCACAAGTAGAAATCTCAAAATTAATTATATGCCATGCCATATATAATACGCGAATAAGCTAAAAAGTATGTTATTATAATTATTATGAAAATTGTAATTGTGTCAATTCAGCATGACTTTGGTCGTTTCTTTAATTTGACTTAGAGAAACAGTCATAATTACGAAGTTGAGCTTCATTTTCAACTTCAAACTTTTAAAAGGTTCAAAAAGTAAAGGTGACTTTATTGTAATTGAGAAAAAACAAACTCTAAAATATAATTAAGTTTAAACGATTTATGTAATTATTGAAAAAGTTTTGTTTATTAAATCCATTAGAGTTCGTGGTCCGATTGACCAAATAACTTCTTTCAATTAATTAATCTTTATGTACGATATTGGTTGAGATAAAAAAGTTAGTGTCACGAGCGGGATTCGAACCCACGACCTTCGGCTAAATACGCCGCTGCTATACCACTTGAACTATCGTGACTTTGATCTTCTCGGACACCAACTCTCCATCTTAACCTACAACCGTTCTAATTTTCCCTCTTTTTGCCATTTTCAACTGTCGTGTAATCAGGATTCGATTCTCAGCGACTTATGAAGTGGTGAAACTTCTTTTACTTATTAAATATTAATCCATTTATTAGTCAATTGACCAAGTTACTTCTTTCAATCAATTAATTATTCTTTTTAAGGCCTTCGTTGAGATTTAGCCAAAGGTCGGGGATTGGAATCCCGCTCGTGACACTGACTTTTTTATCTCAACTAAGACCTTACATAAAAAGAATAATTAATTGAAAGAAGTAACTTGGTCAATTGACCCGTAAATGGATTTATATTCATAATTATTTTCACTAGCTAGCTGGAATGCAAATAACTCACCACATTTTCTAATAGGCCCAGATTATAACTTCCTTAAATGAAAAAAAATATAGATACATTAGTTTTATTAAATTAATTTATAATAAGAAGTTTTTTGTTTGTGTTTTTGGGTTTTGTATGAGTGAATGTATTTATTGGTGTGAATGGGGACGGCTGATGGTGAAGTAGGTTCTCCACCGCCCCTCAGGTTGTGTGTATGACATTATACAAGTACCCCATCGACCCCAATTTAGATTAGTTTATTCTAGTAAACTGTTGGTTGGAGCAATATCGAGTACTCTATCTACGAAGTCGAAATCACGATAGTTCAAGTGGTAGAGCAGCGGCGTATTTAGCCGAAGGTCGTGGGTTTGAATCCCGCTCTTGACACTAACTTTTTTATCTCAACTAAAAACCTTAATTAATTGAAAGATATGTATCAGAGTAGATTTGTAAAGTAATTATTTTCTTCAACTTCAGCTGGAAATGTTTTATTCAATTAAAAACAATTTTCTCATTTTCAAAGTTGTATTTTTCGAATGATAGCTTTATGTAGAAACATTATTTAGTGAAGATCAATAATATAGCAATTGAGTGGAAACAACGGGATGAAACGAATGAATAACTTTTACACTGAAGTTAAAATATACCCAACTTCCATTTAATTTTATTTTAACAAAGCTTTGATCTATTCTCTTTAGATTTCTTTTGTGCAGATTTTTTTTTTTTAGATGAATGGTCCTCCAACCCTAATGAACAAAGAGGTCCAGTCTCCACGGTCTGCCCGGATTTGTCAAAAAGCACAGAAAAAACGCGTAAAAGGTCAGGAACGGTCTTGAAGGAAAAAAAACCCTGGCGTGGCAGTAAAGGCTGGACACATTTTCTAATAGGCCCAGGTTATAACTTCCTTACCTGAAAAAAATATAGGCGCATTAGTTTTATTAAATTAATTTATAATAAGAAGTCTTTTGTTTTGTGTTTTTAGGTTTTGTATGAGTGAATGAATTTTTTGGTGTGAATGGGGACGGCTGATGGTGAAGTAGGTTCTCCACCGCCCCTCAGGTTGTGTGTATGACATTATACAAGTACCCCATCGACCCCAATTTAGTTTATTCTTGTCAACTGTTGGTTGGAGCAATATCGAGTACGCGACGAAGTCGAAATCACGATAGCTCAAGTGGTAGAGCAGCGGCGTATTTAGCCGAAGGTCGTGGGTTCGAATCCCGCTCGTGTC